TCAGCAGCCCGGCCAGGTCGGTGCGCTTGTGCACATGCAACTCGTCAGCCGCATCGTGGTGGTGCTCGCGATCATGCCCGGCGGGCTGGGCCATCGGCCGGACTTTGACCACCGACGGGAGCAGCGGGTTGCCCAGACGGCGGTTGACGCCCGGCCCGGAGGCCAAGACCACGCAGGTGCCCTCGTCAAGGGGAGTGTCGCTGTCGGTCGGCAGGAGGGCAGGGGAGGGGCGATCAGGCATCAGCTTATGGCAGGGGAGGCGGGGGGGCGGGGGGGGGGGGGGGGGGGGGGGGGGCGCGGGGAGCGAGCTGACGGAAGACACAGACACGGGCGAATGGCCTCAACAGGGGCACAGTCAAGAGAGGGCAGAAGGGGGGAATCGGGCCTGCGAGGAGGGGGCCACGCACATCCAGAGCTGGAGGCGGTGCGCGGGCGGGTGCGGGCGCGACACCGACACCCGGAGCTTCGCAGCGGCCGACATCGCCGGTAGCAGGGCCAGAAGCAGGAGGCAGGCCAGAGAGCCAAGGCGGCCGTGGGCCGGCGCCTGGCGGCTGGCTAGAGTGTCCATGGGACTGGGAGGAGGCGCGCGAAGGGGGGAGAGCAGGACTCTGTAGGGCCATGCAACGGGGAGGGGGGGGGGCGGTGAGTGATGGAGAAAAGGTGGCAGGGGGGACCAACGGGGGGAAGAACCAGCGGCCGCGGCGGGGGACATACTCGACGCGGGGGGGAGGGGGGGAGGGGAGTGGATGCGATCGGCCCCTTCGGACCGTCCATCAATACGCCACAAGATGAGTCACCCCCCCCCCCCCTCACACACGCACACACGCACACGCACCGAAAGGAAAAACAAAAAACACCGGCGACCCGAGATCACCATCCAGTCTGCCGCCCATCTCCCGGAGGGCTCCCGGGCATACAGCACGCCGTCACACGCCCCGCTGGGCATCCGCCGACCGTCTTCCCGGGGTGAGGCCCGGGGGCTGTTTGCCATCTCGGCCCGCACGTTGGTGTGCCTCATGAAAAAAGCCCGGACAGCCTCGGCTCTCGCCTGCAGGGCCGGACAAACAGACCCGCTTGTATTGGTGGGCGGGGCGGCACCCCGCCGCCGGTCATGTGTCTCGGAGTGGGGTCGCACGTGTCCGCTCCTCCTTGGGCATGTGCACGTCTCCCTTTTTGAGACTTCTAGGCCCATTTTGGAGATCTCAGAACCGCCGGATCAGAATGTCCCGGGGTTCGATGCCGCACTGGCGACTGTGCCGGGGAGAAAATTGGCATCTGACCCCAGACGCGGGGTGTGGCTGCTCAGTTGCTCCGGGTCACGAAGAGCGAGAGAGAGAGAGAGAGAGAGAGAGAGAGAGAGAGAGGGAGGGAGAGAGAGAGAGAGAGAGAGAGAGAGATACACAGACTCACAGACTCACAGGGAGACACAGACAGACACGGAGAAAAAAGAGACGGAGCAAGACCACGTATAGATCCCCGCCCAGACCCCCGCCCAGACCCCCTCTCTTTGCGGACTTCCGTCCCAGCAGGCGCGCACATCCGGGCGAAAGACGCCCACCAGGGCGCCCACTCTACTGGCCAGGCACTCGGGCCTGCCCGCGCCTCTGCCCTCCTCCCCCCCCCCCCCCCTTCAGCAGGGGGAGCCCTCCTCCCAGATGCGGATGGATGGGCAATCTCGCTCCCCTTTTGCGCCCCTGGGGGGTGGGGGCGCAGGAAGGCCGAGGGGAGGGCGCGCCCTTGGATGCGCACTGGCGCGCCAGCGTCGGCCGGCGGCCCGTCGCTCGGGGATGCATCGGCCTATCTCCCCGCTCCCCGCTGGAGCCTTTGCCGGGCCCTATCTCGGACCCGGACAGAATGGTGCCGGGGGGGGGGGAGGCAGCTCGGCTCTGGCGCGCGGACACGCCCACACGCCGGACTGCCCCCTGCCGCTCCCCGCGTGCGCAGGCAAAATGCCGGCCGCAGACGAAACCGGCGCACACCGCCCTGGCGCCCTCCGGCCCCGGCGGCGGGATTTCCACCGCTGGGCCCCGCAGTCCTGCGCCCGGCGCATACACGCACGCAGACGTGAGCGCGACTGCCAGGCCGGACCGGGCGAGCATGGCCCTCAGGTTGCGTCCTCTCCTCCCCCCCCCCCCCCCCCCCCCGGGCCGGAGGGGGAGGAAAGAACCGACCGGGCATCGGGGGGCGGCGCGAGGGGTCGCGGCATCTCGGGCAGGACGGGCTGAGCAGCCTGCGCGCATGCGCGAATACGTAAGCCCGTGCGCGGGCCTGCTCTCCCAGCGATGGAAGGGCAGGGGCGCCGGCCCATGGAAAACCGATTAATTGGCCCGGGGTTTCTCGTCCCCTTGCCGGGGGGGGACGCGGGGGGGACGCGGGGGAGCCCTTGTTGCGCCGGAATACACACAGGGCCGCGCGTGCCGGCACCCCGCCGGCGGGTGCTCTCCCAGCTGGCCGGCCCAAGGCCAGCAGAGAGAAGGGCCCCGCCCTCATGCTTGTGCAG